TAGCTGCAACCAACTGATGACCTTATATGATCTAGCCCCAAGCCATCAGCCGCTGCTTAGAGCAGTAGTAACGGACAGCCAGTGAGAAGGGAGTGGGTGCCGGGTCCTGCCTTGTAAATCAGTTGATTAATGGAGCAGTCAAAAAGTGTCGTGCCATCCTATCACACCTCTCACCCTTGTGCTGCCAGGGCTTCAATAATCATTAGAGCTAATTTACACTTTATGAGAATCCTACCTGCCGAGCTAAGGTCCAGGGTCGCCAAGAAAGACACAACTTATGCACAGGTATTGGATGGAACAACACTTAGAGAAGAGACAGAGCAAGGTCAGCTTTAAAGTGGACACCAGTCCCCTCTGGCCAGCAGGTCACTCTCTGCAGCCGACACACAGCTGGTGGTCTGCACACACCCCTCTCGTGTTGCAGTTGGGAGACCCTATTCCCTTCCCACTGGGAACATACAGTAGTGAGGTTGGCCAGGTGCCTTATAACACCGCACACATAAGCAGAACAAAGATATTGATTAAGCTCAAAACAGGGAAGGAGTCTCCCTGATAAGAAGAAAGCAGAACGGAAGGAGGCTCACTTCCCCGCCTCCATTATCAGGGAATGTTCCAGGCCCAAGGCTTCTAATTAGGCGGCCTGGATGAGAATGGCAAGAACGTAGGTGGACTATTATCCCAAAACTACCCTTTCCCAAATGTTGGCCGCTCAGCAGTGAACCCTTAGCCCCTTCCTGGCACATAGTACAAGACCTTCGAAGAGGTTTGCACCCAGAAGTGACCCATTTCCTCTGTCTTCCCAAACTATAGTTTAATAAATAAAGTGCTTCACTCTATTCCCCACCTTCGTGATTGGTGTACACACTATCCTCTCTTCTAGAGTATCAGCTCCTACAGGAAAAAGAATAGTATTTTATGCTTTTCTGTATTTTACCCAGCTTAGGGTCTTTCTCACAGTTGCTTAAATTGAATGGGAAAATGTATCCAATTCTCCACTGCCTTTGGAAATACAACTTGTTCTGAAGTTAGAGACTGCCTGTACCTGGCATATGTGTGTGTCCCAATTTCAAGTTGACGTGCATGGGGATTCATTAGTCAGCTCAAGCATCAACTTGGTCTTCCCTAAATCCTGCAGTCTCTGACTGCAGGCAGTCGTCTCTGACTGCAGGCAGTCTCTAGCACCATATTTATTTTAAGAAAATTTCATTATTAAAAAAGTATGAAAATTTGTCCTCAGTATTTTTTCTCTACATAGTCTTGATATAAGAGCATCCAACTTTGAGAACTGTTAGGAATCACATTGCAGTAGCAGCCTCCCCTGAAACTGTTTTCCCTTAATAGCCCTGGTGGCACAGTGGTTAAGCACTACAGCGAGCTACAGCTGCCACCCAAAAGGTTGGCAGTTAGAATCCACCAGCTGCTCCTTGGAGAGCCATGGGGCAGTTCTACTCTGTCCCATAGTGTTGCTATGAGTTCGAATTGACTTAACGGCAATGGGTTTGGCTTTTTTTTTTTTTCTTCAATATATTTAACCATGTATGAAATCTAAAATCTGCTTAATACATAAATTTATCTTAAAACTTATGTTACCTTTATTTATCAAAATTTAAAATATACTTTCCCTTAATCTAAAAAAAAAAAAAAAGAAACCCGTTGCCTTCAAGTCGATTCTAACTCATAGCAACCCTATAAGGGAGAGTAGAACGGCCCCATAGGGTTTCCAAGGAGTGGTTGGTGGATTTGAACTGCTGACTTTTTGGTTAGCAGCTGTAGCTCTTAACCACTGAGCCACCAGGGCTCTGGGACCACGTATAAGAATTTATATTACAGATCTACTTGCACATGTATGGAATCATATAGGTACAAGGTAAGTGATTGAAGCATTATTTATAATAGCAAAAATCAGAAATCAACCATCAATAGGGGACTGATTCAATACATTATGGCACACTCATAAATGGAATACTATGTACTGAAAAAATAGAAACAGAATGTGTAACTTCTAAAACAAAGTAGGAAGGAAGGAGAAATAGAAATTGGATAAAGCCAGTCTATGGCAGGAAAGGGGAAAAAAAAAGTGAAGAGAAAACCAAGTAAGATGATAGAAATATATCAGTAATCACAGTAAAGTATAAATGAATTAAAATGTATCTATTAATTAAAAGATAGTAATTCCACAACTGGATTTAAAAAAAAAAGATCTAGCTTTATACTGTTTTCAAAAGACAAATTTTAAATGTAATGACATTAAAAGGTTGAAAGGGGACAGAAAAACATACTAGGTGAATACTAACAAAAATTTAGTATAATAGTATTACTATAACTAGATTAAAGAAAAAACAGATGATGGAAACCAGATTAAGTAAGGGGGTTTAATATTATTAGGGACAGAAAGGATCATCACTTAATGATAAAAAGAAACAATGTACCAGTACGCTATAAAACAAAATATAGAACTGAATGCACAGTGCTACAAAATAGCCTCAAAATATAATAATCAAGCATTCGTTTAATTATCTGGAGGAAGGGTCAAATCCAGAATCATTGTGGGAGAATGAGTTTAAGAAAAAAGCTTTCTATATTGCTCCTTTTAAGAGAAAATCTAACAAAGACATAATGATGTTTATAAGGAATGGAAAAATATTTACCACTAATCTAAAGAAAGCTGATGTACAAATAACAGTATCAGACAAAACAGATTTTAAGACAGATTGCTCAGAAGTTGGGAAGCTGATCCTACAATAACCATGACCATGCTGAGTCAAGGAAGGACTCACATCGTACCAGAAATCAAAATGTGTTATAAAGCTATAGTAATTAAAACCGAGGTAAGTGGTGCAGGGTAGAAACAAATGGACTGGTGAAGCGAACCCAGGCATTAAAGCAGGGCTTCGATCTAGTTTACTATCTGGTTAGTGATTTCCCCTCCCCACCCTCATAACCATTGTTTTTGTCAGTGTGTAAATTTTTTCATGGGTTTTTGTAATAGCGGTCTCACACAATATTTGTCCTTTTGTGATTATTTCACTCAGCATAATGCCCTCCAGATACATCCATGTTGTGAGATGTTTCGTGGACTCATTGTTCTTTATCATGTAGTATTCCATTATATGTATGTACCATAATTTATCTATTCATCTGTTGATGGGCACTTAGGTTGTTTCCATCTTTTTGCTATTGTGAATAATGCTGCAATGAACATGGGTGTGCATATGTCTATTCGTGTGATGGCTCTTATTTCTCTAGGATATATTCCTAGGAGTGGGATTGCTGGATCATATGGCATTTCTATTTCTAGCTATTTAAGGAGGCACCATATCGTCTTCCACAGTGGTTGTACCATTTTACATTCGCACTAGCAGTGCATAAGAGTTCCAATCTCCCCGAAACCTCTCCAACATTTGTTATTTTCATTTTTTGATTCATGCCAGTAATATCAGGGTGATATGGTATCTCACTGTAACTTTGTATTGCTCTCATGGCTAATGATCGGAGCATTTCCTCATGTGTCTGTTGGCTGCCTCAATGTCTTCTTTGGTGAAGTGTCTGTTCATATCCTTTGCCCATTTTTCAACTGGATTATTTTCTTTTTCCTATTGAGGTGTTGAAGTATTCTATAGATTTTAGAGATTAGACCTTTGTTGGATATGTCATAGCCAAAAACTTTCCCCAGTCTGTAGGTTCTCTTCTAACTCTTTTGGTGAAGTCTTTTGATAAGCCTAAGTATTTAATTTTTAGGGGCTCCCAGGTTTCTAGTTTATCTTCTGTTGTTTGTGCATTATTAGTTATGGTTTGTATTCTATTTATGCCATGTATTAGGGCCCCTAGCATTGTCCCTGTTTTTTTCCACGATCTGTATCGTTTTTGGTTTTATATTTAGGTCTTTGAAGAAAATTATTTTTCAATCTAGTACTCTATATCCAGAAAAATAATCAGCCAAGAGTAAGTGCAAAACAAAGCCACTTCAGACATCCAAGGGCTCACCTCTGGAACACTTTCTCTTCGGAGGAACTTGAAGACAGACTCTAACAAAATGAGAAAGTAAATCAAGAAACAGGAAGTTATGGACTCTAGGAAAAAGCAGATCCAACCCAGGAAAGAAAGTACGTCTTCAAATGAAACTTGTGCAGCAGGCCCAGAAAGTAAAATGTTCAGATTGGAACAGGAAGAAAATTTTTGACAAAATATTTAAACAAAAACTTGATGATTAAGGCTTGCCCATGTGTGGAGAAAAAGGCACTCACAGACACTATTGTTGGGAATGTCATTTGGCAAGCGTTTTGGAGGCCAGAATATGGTAGCATGTGTCAGTAATTCTGCTCCCAGAAACCTATTCCTACAAAACTACTTATATGTGCGGGCAGCACAGAGTAGTACATAAGAACATGAACTCTCGAGTGAGATTGCCTGGGTTCAAATTTCAGCTTTCCCCCCTGTGAGCTCTATGATCTGTTCCTCGTTTACAAAATGAAAACACCTTCTCAAAAGGTTGTTGTAAGGATTTAATTAAGAGGTCCTTACGGAAGGCTTAGGAGCCCTGATGGCACAGTGTTAAGTGCTCAGCTGCTAAATAAAAGGTTGGTGGTTTGAAGCCACCAGCTGCCCTGTAAGAGGAAGTTGTGGCAGTCTGCTTCTGTAAAAATTTACAGCCTTGGAAACCTTATGGGGCAGTTCTACTCTATCCTACAGGGTTGCTATGAGTCAGAATCAACTCGACGGCAGTGGGTTTAGTTTTTCGGGTTGTGAAGGGCTTAACACAATGCCCAGTATGCAACACTCGGGCTTTTAGGAGATTAATGTGTGTATGTACATATATGTTTCTACATGTAGAAAAGAAGTACTGAAAAAAAAAAAATCAAAGGATTTGGAGAGGGGCAGAAGAGGGGCTTGTTTTTGTGTGAAATTTTTATTACAAGCAACAAAGTTGTTTTATCCTTTAGAGAGAAGGGAAAAAGTAAAGAGCATGATAAATCCTGATAAGCACACCCAAACATATGAAAAAAAACTTTTATTTTAACTTATCATACATATTTAAATTTTAGGAAGTTTCTAGGTAGGCGCACTTTCCTCTGTGGGTTTGGTCTGATCTTCGGTTACCTGGAAAAACATAACAGCTTTACTTTTAGAATAAACACTTTCAGTTTCACCCTCCGCCCACCACTTTAAATCATTCCACAGTCCTTCTCTCTCTCCTTCAATAGCAATTATTATAGAAAGTTATGTAGGAAAAGAAGACTTTCAAAGCCACATTACCAATGTAAATTACAAATATACAGCGATTCCTGTCAAAAATATAATGTGAGGCATATTATATCTAGTCTTCTCAAGTGTGTCATTTCATAGTTCACCTATAAAACAAAATCATTAGTATAAAAAAAAAACAAAAGACCAGAAGTGCTGCAACAAGTTATTTTAAATCAACCTATTTTGCTGGGAGGTATAATTCTATTTTGAGTACAGCATATTACAGGCTTAGTCCAAACAGATATCATGTGTCCGTATTTCTATTGTCTAACTCAGCCACATCACACTCACCGAGCTAAAACTGAGCTTCTCATCACCCCAAACCTGCCCCACCTCCTGCACTCTCCGTCTCAGGGAAGGGCTCTCCCCGCCGCCCCAGGCCAGCATTCGAGAATCCATCTCCTCTCACCTGCGTAAGGTCAACGGCGAATTAATTCTACCTAAGAAACTCGCAGCCCTTCTCCCCGCCATGGCTGAAGGCCCTTCTCCCCGCCATGGATGAACGCCCTTCTCCCCGCCATGGCTGAACTTCAGGACCTTATCGTTTTCGACCCCCTAAAGGTACTCCTGGCTTAATTTACAGCTCCCTTCCACACTGCCGACCCCCTAAAGGTACTCCTGGCTTAATTTACAGCTCCCTTCCACACTGCCAACCCCCTAAAGGTACTCCTGGCTTAATTTACAGCTCCCTTCTACACTGCCCCCAAAATGCACTTCTGAATATGAATCGCCAATCACATCACTTTCCTGTTCAAATTTCTTGTAACTGCCTATCATATTCAGGGAAGGAAAAACGCAAACTCCACAGCGTGGAAGACAAGCCCTCATAGTCCATCTCCAGCACACTTCTCTGGGCTCTGCACCCTCCATGTGACCTGTGGGTGCAGATTCTTCTTACATTCCCCATCTCCTCCATTCCTTCACACCTCTCGTCCAGTGGCTTCCTCTGAGATACTAACCCCCAGCCAATTACCTGCCTGGCCCATTTTTATTCACCTTTTAAAACCAACTTAAAAGGCACCAATTCTTGGAGGCTTCCTTAACCAAACCTCCAGCTTCCTTTAGGTCTTCTCGTGTTACTCCAGAACCCCACGTGTACATCTGAACTGCCAGCTTGTAAGGCTAGTGATCCCATCAAAGTAACTTCCTGCAAGGCAGCAGTATGTTTTGTTCATTTTTGTACCCTCAGAACACAACAGTATCTGGCACATAACACTCAATCAGTCTGTCTTAACTGAATCAATGGACCATGTGTTTAGCCTGCTCCCTTTGGATAAGCAAAATGGACGGTGGAAGAAGACAACTAAACCAGAATAAATGTTTCAAAAACGGCTGTTTACTGATTTCTACTAGATATTCGAGGTTACTGTCTCTACTATTTTTCCTTCCATTAAAGTGTTCAATTATTATTTGCTGCTTCCTGTGTTTCCCAACCACTTCTTATTCATTTTTTCTCTAGTTTCTTAATCTAAAATGATCATTGTGAAATCACAAAAGGACAAATATTGTATGATTTCACTTTTTATAAAAAGTCAAGAATAGGTATACACACAGAGAGCAACGTTCCTTGATGGTTACCAGGGATGAGAGGAAGAAGAAGGGAGAATTGCTTTCTAGAGAGTAGACGCTTATTATTTTTGGTGATGGGAAAGGCATATCCAATATGGCCTAGACCAAGGCAAATGAAGACACTAAGAAGTAAGACTAAGAGACAATTTTGGTAAATGCTATGACATACACAACTTTGCAATAATAATAACCAAAAAATATGAGTGAGGTTACGCAGATATACATGTATGCATATATGTGTAGAGGAAGGCAAAAGTTGAGTACATGTGTGTGCATGTACAGGTGTATCTGTCGGCATATGTGTATATGCGTTTGAGTGTGCTGCATATATATTCATATATATAATAAAGCACACAGGGGGCACACTTACGGATCCCTCCAAGACAAAACCAAACACCTCGCAGGACTGGTTTACTAGGTTAAAAGGCTTAGGACCACAGTCTCATGCCACAACTCAGCCAACTGGCATAACACAGCTCGTAAAGATGATGTTCTGTATCCTAGTTGGGTGAGGAGTAGCGTCTGGCGTCTTAAAAGCTTGTGAGCGACCATCTAAGATAGAACTATTGGGCTCTACTTGTCTGGAACAAAAGAGAATGAAGGAAACCAAAGGCTCATAGAAGAAACTAGTCCACAGGGCTAAGAGCCCACACGAACCACAGCCTCTTCTAGCCTGAGACCGGAAGAACGAGATGGTGTCCAGCTGCCACTACCGCCTGTTCTGACCAGAGACACAATACAAGGTCCTGGACAGAATGAGCGAAAAATGTAGAACAAAATTCCAATTCCTAAAAAAATGCCAGAATTACTGGACTGACAGAGACTAAAGGAAGCCCCAAAACAAGCACCCTAAAATACTCTTTGAATTTGAAACTGAAGCCACGCCCAGAGATCACCTTTTAGCCAAATAATAGATTGGCTTATAAAATAAACAATATCACCCATGAGTAATGTGTTGCCTTAAACAATCAACTATATGAGACCAAATGGTCAACATTTACCCAAAAGCAAAGATGAGAAGGCAAGGAGGGACAGGGGAACTTGATCAATGGAAATAAGGAGAAAGCTGACACAGTGTGAAAACTGTAACCAATGTCACGGACAGTCTGTATAAAAACTGTTACATGGGAACCTAATACGCTGTGTCAACTTTCACCTAAAACACAATAAAATACTGAAAATAAATAAAATGATCATTGTGACCAACCAGAGACAAAGTTATTCTATCCTTTCAAATATACTCTCTTCTTATAAGATAAAGAAAATTACATAACCTTTACACAAGGACATTAAGCTGTCCTTAAACAATAAATTCTATTTGTAAATTCCCTAGTAAAACCTAGTTTTATAATGATAGCATTATGAAAATAATAACTATTTATGGGGTAACCTCCAATATGTGTCAAATGTTGTGTTCAAAATTTGGGGTTAAACAAATATAACAAACCTTGAATAAATCAGCAGACTGAATGTAAATGTACTAGCAAAGAAAACAAAATGAAGAGAAGGTATACAATCAAGCAACAAACTGTATGAACGTTATTTGTTAAGAGATTACTCTGAGAATGCTTCCTGGAGAAGAAGACACTAGGGCAAAGTATTAAAGAATGAGTAGGATGGAGATACACAGACATAATGAAGGAGCATGCGAAGGAGAGTCCAGGCAGAAGAACGGTCATGGAGAAATAAACTTGCAAATCATTCTGATGTGTGCGCTGATTAGTGTGCTTGCAAACTTGACTAGAATGTCTGCAGAGTACTGGGAAATTAGGGTAACTAGGAAGGGCTCATGAGGTCAGATTACACTGGACAGCTATCAGGTAATGTACGGAAAAGACAGAACACTTAGCACGTGAAATAGTGAATAGGGATAGTTGTGGTTCAGAAATATAATCCCTCCTGCTTGTGAAAATCTAAATACTAACGATACAACATAAATATAGAAGCATAAGCATTGAAATTTGGTTTTTCAGGACATTTGTACATTTAACTTGTCAACAGTCAAGTCAGCTGTAAAGTATACTGGACAAATCTTAAACCTTTAAAACTTCATTAGGTTTACAAAAAACTTATCAAGAAAAAATCATAAGTCCTCAGTAACACCATTACAACCATGAAGAACTTTACTATATGGAAATATCTTCTTTCCCTTCAAGTTCTACAGTATCATTTCTATGGCATTAACAAATCAAATCAAAAGAGAATTTCCAACCTACAACCTTCCTTCTACCAAAATACTACTAGGGTAAACAATCACAACATTGATCTGGCTACTGAGACAATTAATTTCCTTCCTTTTTTTTTTTTTTTTTTTGGTTGTTGCTTAATTTCAATGAAAATTCCTTCATAGAAGATCACTCACTAGTTGTCACAAACACTTACCAATTTCCGAGATCTTTCCAATAGCTTATTCCATATTGTAAAATGTGCCTTAAAAAGAACAGATTTACTATGAATTAAACAAAGCAATACTGTTAAAATAAAAGGGACTGAGTCTTCATATAGCATTTAAACAAAACTAATAAATATAAATCTAGGCAGTACTTATGCGGCTAAGTGGTTACAAAAGTGGATCAGAGTAAGGAAAAAGGCACTATATGTAGCACAGTTTGTTAATCCATTCATCTGTTGATGGGCATCTAGGTTGCCTCCTTCTTAGGAAAAAGGCACTGCGCAGAATAGCTGCTTTGTCTGACTTTTAAGAAATAAGACTTAAGAACTGAATACGCCATTCTTCCTGTTTGGTTCCTTTTAATCATCTCCATCACAGAAAGCATTCCATCTAATGGGAAGTAAAAAGAAATCTGCTCCCTTTCCCGCTGATTGCAGTTCTTTCCTTCAACAGCCAGTTTCAACATGCTAGAGGTCATTCTTCAAATCATGAGCAATCATAAGAAGAAAGTCATTAAGAACTGTGACATGTTCCCACTGAAATGGCAGGTCCAGAAGATCTAGCAAATTATGCCACATCACAAGTAAAAGCTAACAAAGACAGAAGTAAAATCACAGAACCAATTTCATTAATCCTTAACAATCTTATGCAGCAGAGGCTTATCAGAAAGCATTAATGAAAACTGTAAAGAGCATAACGACCACATCAATTTTGTTTACACCAGCTGAAGGTGATACTGAGGCATATGGGTGGGCCAGTGACTATTTCAACATCAAATGAGCTAGTAGAATCTATAACAAAAGGTAAAATTACTAAATATCTATACACAAACCCTCTGGAGAAAAAGCAGTATGATATGTTTAAAGGGAAAGGCATCCTTGACTCAGGCAGAATGAACAGATGGTCCAGAAACTTTGAGGTGGGAATCAGTTTGCTAGATTCAAGGAAGAAAAAGTGTGGCCAGACCACAGTGGCTGAAGAAGAGAGAAGAGGTGAAGTCAGAAAAGCAGATAGGGACAGATAAGTATGGCTTTGCAAGACAGGATAAAGGGTTAGGATTTTATTTATGGGATGCTGTTACAGTGTTGGAAACCCTGGTGATGTAGTGATTAAGCATTGGGCTGTTAACCAAAAGGTCGGCAAGTTCTAATCCACCAGGTGCTCCTTGGAAACCCTATGGGGCAGTTCTCCTCTGCCTTATAGGGTTGCTATGAGGCGGAATCGACTCGACGGCAATGGGTTTGTTTTTTTTTTTTGTTTGGTTACAAAGTTTGGAGCAGGGAAATGATGTGATTCAATTTGTGTATTAAAAAGATCATTCTGGCTACCAAGCAGAGAAAGCACTGTGGAGAGCAAGAATAAACTCAAGGAGGGGGAGGGAAAAGAAAGAGGGACTTGGAGAAAAGAAGCAGTAATAGATGAGATGCTATGCACTGGATGGATTCAGAACATGTTTTAGAGTTAAGAGTTGAAAGGACTGGCTGATGGGTGTGATGGGGGCATGGCTATGAGGGAAAGAGAGAATCAAGAATTCCCTCAAACAGCTAGACAGACGATGGTGCCATTTACTGAAATGGGGAAGGCTAGGAAAGGATGCGAATATGTGGAGAAAAATCAAGCATTCTGCATTGGCCACATTAAGCATTAGGTAACTATAAGCCATATAAGTGGAGCTGTCAAGTAGGCAGTAGGACAAAGGAGTCTACAAATTCCCAAGAGAGCTTTGGTGTATAGATGATCGCTGGAACCGTGATGACAAGAGATGACATAAGAATATTTATGGAATCCTTGTGACGTGTCAACCCTTTGACACTGAAGAGAGGAGGAAGAGCCAGCCAAGAGGCTGAGGAGTGGCCAGCCACTTAGGTTGAAGGAAATCTAGGGACACACATGTCATGGATGCATCTAATGTCTTTCAAGGAAGAGGGAATAACTAATTAGTTCAAAGAGGTCAAAGAAAAGCAGATTAAGTGGCTGTTGGATTTGGCAATATGGAGGTCACTGGAGACCTTGACAAGATAGTTTCAGAGCAATGGCATGAGGGGAAGACTAACTGCAGTGGGTCGAGGACAGAATGAGAAGTGAAGTACAGACAACAACTACAGATACAGATCCCTACAGGCAGAGAGCAGGAAATGGGGCAGGCACTACAGATACAGATACCTACAGGCAGAGAGCAGGAAATGGGGCAGGCACTGCAACAGGGATATAAGGTCAAGGAGAAGGTTTTTTAGATATAAGATATATGAAATGCTAATGGAACTAATTCTGAAGGGGAACACCGTAGGGAAAATTTAAGGGAGAATAACTATAGAAGTGGAGTCTCAGAGAAGGTAACAGGGCATAAAATCTGGGGCACCAATATCAATACAGGGGTTGGTCTTTGAAAGAAGCTGTCATGGATTGAACTGTGCCCTCCAAAAATATCTGTCAACTTGGCTGGGTCATAATTCCCAGTATTATATAATTGTGTACCGTTTTGTAATCTTACGTGATTTCCTTATGTGTCATAAATTCAATCACTATGATCTAATAAGACGGATTAGTGGCAGTTATACTGATGAGGTTTACAAGACTGTACAGTGTCTTAAGTCAATCTCTTTTGAGGTATAAAGGAAAGAAGTGAGCAGAGACACATGGGAACCTCATACCACCAAGAAAGCAGCGCTGGGAGCACAGCGTGTCCTTTGGACCTGAGGTTCCTGCAGAGTAGCTCCTAGACCGAGGGAAGATTGATGACACGGACCTTCCTCCAGAGCCAACAGAGAAAGTGTTCCCTTGGAGCAGATGCCCTGAATTTAGACTTGTAGCCTACTAGACTGTGAGAGAATAAACTTCTCTTTGTTAAAGCCATCCACTTGTGGTACTTGTTACAGCAGCACTAGATGACCAAGAATTCGGTACCGAGAGAGTGGGATGCTGCTCTAACAGATACCTAAAATGTGGAAGCGGTTTCAAAACTGTGAATGGATAGAGGACCAGCAGCAGCAGACAACCTGCAGCAATGGAGAAGTGGCAGCAGCAGAGAACCAGCAACAGCAAAACCAAGAGACCAGTGTGAGATGGCGCTGGAGCCGACCCATGCAGCGAGGGAGCTGAGTGCCTGTGTGCAGGAGACTTCCTGGCAGAGTGGGGTGCCTCCAGACACTTATCGGTGGAGCTACCAAGCTTTGGAATACTTGCCCCAGCAGCGCAGATACGGGCGTGAGGCCTGAGGGCCAAGAGGCCACAGGAAGCAGAAGCTGAAGAAACAAGGAACACAAGAAGCCTCAGTCTCAGAAGGTAAGGCCATGACCTCAGGGGTTTCTCAGGGTGGAGCCACGGCCCCTGGTGTTTCTCAGGGTGGAGCTGTCACTCTGATAGACTAGGAGAATGGTGTGCCTGAAGCCGAGGGAGCAGAGTTGCCGACCCAGTGGGCCTGAAAGGCGGAGTTGAAGCCCAGGGCTGAGAGGCCTCCACTCAGAGTGGAGTGTGCTTCTTAGTTCCATCAGATATACGAAACAAAACGGGCAGCTTGTCTGGAGGCAGGATGAGAAGGCAGGAAGGAACAGGAACTGGTCGAATGGACACAGGGAATCCAGGGTGGAAAGGGGGAGTGTACTGGTGTACTGTCACATTATGGGGATTGCAACTAGGGTCACAAAACAATACATGTATTAATTTTTATATGAGAAATTAACTTGAGCTATAAACTTTCACCTAAAGCACACACACACACGAAAAAAAATTAGCGAGAAGAACACGCCGAATATAAGACCAAAAGGCATTCCAGAAGGGTCTTACCGATATGTGCCCCAATGCCCCCGATACACCCTCACCTGTGCTAATGTGAAAAATTAAAAACACTATCTCAATTTGATTTAATATTTTCAACTGTTTCTTTTGTAAATTATCTGTTTACATCCTGGGCAAAATGGTTTTTAATCATAAACCCGAGTTGATAATATATAGTGTCAGACAACTTAGTGAAAATTAAATTCTATATCCTTCAAACTGGTATAAAATCAAGTCAAGAAATACACCCACACCCAAACTGAAAGAACTGGAACTTGCAGTTGTACTTACTCTTAAGTGAGTAGGTAGAGAGAGCCCCTGGAATCTTCGGACGAGGCCTGGCTGCGTGGCCTGAAGGCTGTGAGCCGCTGACACTTCATACTGGAAGCAAACACTTGTTCTCGGAATAAGAGGGCCCTCGCTCACGTCTATGAAGTCACCAAATCTGATTTGATTTTTAAAAAAATGAAGCCTTGAAATCAATTCTTTTATAATAAATAATCAATTTGGGAAAAAAAAAAAAAACCTATTCATTCTCTTTGCAGACAGATCCCCAATCAAGAACATTCTATGTGGCTCAGTTTAGTCTCTAACAGCTCCTGACATAACAATCTCAAGTGAAGAGGCCAAAACCTTGAAAATTAAAGTCAAGTGAACCTTCTTCTTCATTAGCGTTAACAGGACTTTAGAGGTTTTTAAGTCACTGAACCACACCGTGCTGTCCAGTGGACCCAATATCTAAAACTGGAATCCTTCAACCTCACCAAAACTCACTGCCACAGAGTTTAAATTCACTACGTAGGACAGGCAGTGTCCAGAAACCAAAAGCAGCCTTCTAGAGGGAAAAAGCTCAGTCCAAACCAAGGACACACGATTCTGGGGAAACAGATACAGGCCAGGGAGCCAGCCTTGCAGGATGCACTGTCGTGGGACCTGTTCTCCATGGAAGAACATCAGCATGAGCAGGGACCTCTCTCCCCTGCCTCAGAAAGCACATTCGGTTTAACTCACGCATATAACCTAAGTCGTAACTGACGAGTCAGTACCCACACTTCTGTACACAATGAACATTTTGTGCAATTTCAAAATTAAAATGACCCTCAAATTATAATTTTTATGCAACGCTTTTTCAAATCTTGAAATGAGGAAGTAAAAATAACATGAGGAAAAGAAACCACAACTGTTCCTAAAGGTAATTTAAAGCCTCCGATTCCCTCAGTATTAAAACAATGAACAGAGGAAAAAAAGGAAAGGAATAAGAATAAAATAAGGTACAAATTCATCTATTTCAGTTGTACACTTCATTTAGGTAACAAGAAAGCTAAGCCTTACTCTGAATTAGAAGAGGGGCTGATTTTTAGGTTTTTGCTTACCTGTGCAGCTTGACGATTCTCTCAGGGTTCTGAGATGCTTTCTCTTCTATGAAATCTATTTTGTACCTGATAAATAGCAAAGAAAAGAAAAACCTCTAAATATATGAAAAGCTGCTTAAAGGTACCTTCTTTCTCTTCCTCTTCAGCCATACTTCTTGAAAGAGTGGTCTCTACTTGGAGCCTCCCCTTCTGGCTTCCCATTCACTTCTTGCCTACCTTCAACCTGGCCACAGCCCCGAGACTCCACCAAAGCCACAGGTACGTCCTTGGTCCCAGCCTGATGGCTGTGTTAGGCCCTTCACTTCCTTATCACTGCTCACCACCACCTCTCAATGTGCTCTTTGCCGCAGACTTCCATTACACTCTCTACTGTGTCTCTTCCTCTTGCCAATCTTCTGTCTCTCCTCTCTCTCCTTAACTGTTGTGTTCCTCAGGGCTCTGTTCCACATCCTCCTTTCACTCCAGCTTTCTCCTGAGGCTAGCAATGTGACTCACACAGCTTTAGCTACCACGTAAGTATTTATAATCCTCCATATCCCCACCTTCTGAACTCCAAATTGTATATCTAAGATCCTTCTAGGATGTTCCATAAATATCTTAAATACTCAAATTCCCAAACTGAGCTCATTCATAGTACGGCCCTTCATAGTATACCCTAAATGTTATCATTTCAATATGTGATCAATATTAAGAAAATTGTTTCCATTCATTCAAGAAAGTGGGCTTCACAGACACATACAATTGGAAAATACTATTTTCTATATCCACTTTGGCGGCCTGATGGCACAGTGGTTAAGAGCTTAACCACTAACCAAAAGACCAACCGTTCCAATCTACCAGCTGCTCTGTGGAAACCCTATAGGACAGTTCTACTCTGCCCTATTGGGTCACTATGAGTCAGAATCCACTCGACGTCCACTGGACAGCAACAGGTTTTTTTTTTTTTGTCCACTTTGGGAGACTTTACAGTGCAAATGAGTACATTAAAAACAGATTAAATTTGTTTATGTCAGTTTTCTCCAGACTTAGTTGAAAACAGTACACCTTTTGCAGCATACCAAATACTGTCTTATGGAAGAGTATTCTGTGAGATATTGGTTTGAGAAATGACAAGCTAGAGTATGTATCAAGGGGGTTTTTGTGGACTAATCCAAGAATATATGTATAATAAACCACCCCTAAGAGAACATGTGATTCAATTTCTAAATACCTAAACCCTAATCCATAACCTTTCACAACTTGTGAGTGTATATTTGGCTTCAGGATATAGTTTGTAAGTTATATTTTTACAACACAGATTTCCCTTTCTAATTAGCTCTAATTTTCCATTAGACTGGTATTAAAATTTACTAGAGCATACAACTAGTAGAAGAAGGTGAAGTTTCCTGAGTGGGAAAGGGAATTGGGAAGCCAAGGAGGATTTAAAACGTTGACAAAGAAAATCCATCAAATCGGTAATTTACATGAAGAAGACTTAAGACCTGGCTGCGTAAACATCTCATTTCAGCTTCCAAACTGCTTGCGTTTTCAATCTTACCCTTTTCATTCAGAGTGAAAGGATATGAGGGATAGGCTGCAAAGCACACAGAGTAAGTTCTTTAACATATCTTATCACTTCACAAAGGAAAGAAAAGGGCAGCAATACCACTATGTGGATATATCTGGCCCAACAAATGCAGAAGTAAAACAAAGTGAGAAAATTATCTAATGTTTGTTGTCAGCGTTTTTTCTCAGTGAAATAAGCAAAATGAGATGAACAAAAGTCAATAAGCTAGAGCAGGAAAGAGATCTTGGAGCTGAAAATAAAAAGATGTCATGTGTTTACTGAACATAAGAATTTTTAAGAGCTAAATTTCTTTTATTATGGATAATTTTGGGAGGTTTAATATTGCTTCAAAGGAAGCTAACACTTACTTGTTGTGCTGAAATATTTCTAATGCCACTTTTGCTTCAACTTCCAAAGTTTCAAATGGAAGATCTTTATAAATTAAAGCATGAGCGTCTTTTGTGAAGGAACGCAGGTTCTCCTTAAAAATGAAAGCATTAACCTTAATAACACATTACTTAAAAGTATTTCTCCACAAGTTAGACAAGATTAATTTAAAAAAAAAAAAAAGACAATAAGCTCAAATCTGTTACGGGGGAAAGTTACTAATTTGCAACAACTAAATATTTGGACCATAAAATACAGCGTTAGCAATCTCTCCCAATTCTACAAATTATAAAACTTGTAATTATGGTATCAGTCTCCCCTAATCATAATCCCCAAAAATAATCCTATAAAAAGTTTAATAAGAATTTTATCTAAATTATACAGTTTTATGTTTATTAACCCTGTGGTGCAGTAAGTAGAACTGTTAATAAACAAGCAAGACACAAAAAAAATTATGTTTACACTATGAATAAAAATAAGTTTTTAAAATAAATGGGAAAAAATTATTGTTTACATGATTCAGAAAGTTTCACTAGAAAATGTAAATGTCATCATTGGCCCTGTCCAAAATACAGCATATATCCACACCTCTATATTTCTGTTTAATGAAACTATCAATTTTATACACTTAAAGTGATTAACTAATATTACACACTAACAATGTTTGTAAGATTTTTAATTAAAAAAACTCTGATTAATCCTAGAGCAACAGAGGAAGAAGGAGACCCAGGAATCAGAGAAGGAAATGGACTGCAGGTCTAACTGCCTCCATGAACTACTACCTCCTTTGCCATGAGACCAGAAGAACTGGATGGTGCCCAGCTACAATTACTGAACATTTTGCTCAAGGACTCCATAGATGGGTCTTGACCAAAAGAAGGAAAAATGTGGAACAGAACTTCAAATTCTTAAGAAATTCAGACTTACTGGATACACTGAGACTGGAAGAACCCTGAATTTATTGCCTGGAAACAACTTTTAAACCTTGAACCAAATTTTCAATTAGAAAACTGAAGTCATCTTTGAGCTAAACTACGGTTTAGCTCAATTAATAAAGAATGTTCGCATTGAGCACTGCGCTCTTTTAGTATTGTCTAGTTTGAAATCAAATCGACAAACCAAACTCATTGCTTTCAAGTTGAATTCCAACCCATAGCAACTCTACAGGACACAGCAGAACTGCCCAATAGGGTTTCCAAGGCTATACATCTTTATGGAAGCAGACTGCCACATTTTTCTCCCATGGAACGACTGGTAGTTTCGAACTGCCAAGCTTTCAGTTAGCAGCTGAGCACTTAACCATTGCACCACCAGGGCTCCTTCAAACTGACAAAAGTAAAGCACAGGTAAGAACATTAAAGGGCAGAGAGTCTCAGTTAATAGTGGTGCAACAATACGGGCAGAGACAGCGAGGATGGTGGCACAATGTGAAGGATATAACCACTGTCACTGACCTGTACAAGTAAAAACTGTGTATGATCTGTGTTTTGTTATGCATATTTTCACCAAAATTGAGAATTCTGAGTTTCTGTACTATAAATCATCACGAAGAAAAGATCAACCACAATTATGTGAATAATTTTTATATAAAAATGTTTATAATAAAATTATTTCCATGAATTCCCTATTAGAATTTTTGAATGAAGTAATTCTTTTTTCTATTCTTTAAAGGCACAGTTTACTGTATAGCAAATCCACATTCATGGTTTAATGTATCTGTTACTTCAATACAACTCTCCCTTACTTTCTCTAAGCCATCTATCCATCTCATGGAGTCTGCAATTAGCTAGCACATTTCTTAGAAACAACTTTAAAAAAATAAATAAAAAGAAAAAAGAGGCAATAAATGTCACGGATAATAAGAGCTGAATCTTGGTTAATGAATCTTTACTTAATTCTCCCAGTAAAGTAAGAATCTATTCTTAAATTTGGGGACATACCCGACAAGAAAGAAGCCGCATTTGGCAAGAATCCAGAGATCACGAAGGAAGAGTACCAATCTTTTCCCTGCCCCCTCCCAGCCTCTGCACCACCCCCTCTTCTCTTCCTTCCTTTTTCCTTCCTCTCTCTCTCTCAATTACACAAACAGTAACTTCCAAAGCGAGAATCTAACCCTGGATTTCTCCTAATTGCAAAGCCTTTGATTTTTTAAGAACGACAGTATTTCACTGAATATAAGATTTGCGACTGAGAAACAAACATTACCAATTAAAACTGTGTAAGATGCCATTTACTGTAAGATATATTCTGTTTTCAGAGATAACTGAAATGTGAGGGGAAACGTGCACCATGGAATTGATACAATGGAACAGCTATACTGCCTCCTCTTTTCTGATAGCCAGATTTCCCATCCTTAGGGCATACGGTTCTGCTTAACTAAGACTCAGGCACCTGACATTATCCCCAATCATAACTAAGGATCTAGGTTGACTTCTGGCAGCCATCAGCACTCCTACCTACTGAACTCTTGATACGAGTCGTCCTTGTTAACAAGACCCTATGGTTAACGTGCTCGGCTGCTAACTAACTGAAAGGTTGCAAGTCTGAGTCCACCAGAAGAAAGGCCTGATGATCTACTTCCAAAAAAAACAGTTATTCACTGGAGCACAGCTCAACCCTGACATATATATGTTCACCATGAGTCAGAATCAACTGAACAGCAAGTGGTAACTGGTCTTGCTCCCCAAGTCCCAAAACAACAGGACCTCTCTGTATCACAAAAGCAATTCACAAAGAAAACTCTTGCTATTTGTTGCTATTTGAGGGGGCAGCTTTATCAATAGCCTGACTCTTTAACTCTCCCCAGTTCTCCATACGTAACCCTAATGTAAACAGGGAACTCACAGCACGCAACAGGCTAAAATGTTTCAGGTAGTCGTTTTCAACCTGTGCCCGGAGGATCCAAGCAGGCACAGTGCCAGGTCCACCACATCAACCAAGAGAACTATGCATCTATATGCTACGTTCTGGCAATCCAGTCATATCTGAAAACCATCATCTTGAGGAGCAGTAAAAGGAAGAAGGCCCTTCGAGAAGAAGTCAAGCAAAGCATAAAACGTCAAGGCAACTGGCCACGCTATCATGAATATCCTCATTCTCACGCCTGTCTCAACCACACTGAAAACGCAACAGAAACAAATAAACAGAAATATATTCTTTTAAATGTCCTCAATACACACTACGGTCCAACAATATGAACACAGGAGTCACTCTAACAGAGAAAGGCGCTGACTCTGAACTAATGCTCCAAAGAATTAAAGGGCTTACTTTTGTTGGCATCCATTCATCAAGTCTTTTATCCAAAACTACATCATAGCAGAAGGCTCCGGCAATGACTGTAAAGCCAACAACAAAACGATTAGCGATCTTTCCCAACTCGACCAATTATAAAACTGCTAATACCATTATCCAGCTGCTCACCCGATCTCCATTGTTTTCTCCTACCTCAAAAATTAACTCGCGTTTTGTCAACCCCAAATGGCTGATAACATTATAAAAACGCTCAAGTGTTCCCCAAGAATAGCATCACTATAAAAACCAAAAAACCTGTTGCCATTGGGTCAATTCCAAACCACAGCAACCTAGAGACAGAGCAGAACTGCCCCATAGGGTTTCCAAGGAGCAGCTGCTGGATTTGAACTGCCAACCTTTTGGTTAGCAGCTGTATCACTTACCCATTGCGCCACTAGGGCTCCAGCACAGCTATAGAGATTTCAAATAGTTACTAGATATAAAAATTCCAAAAGAAAAAAATATTTAATAAGAAGATAAATGACTAAATGTTCACAAAACATTGAATGCATTTCTTTTTTAATATCTCCTAAATAACCTCATCTTTGTTGTTTTGTTCTTTTTATAAAAATGTGTACATGTTCATACTAACAGAAAAGATTCACATACTAAAGAAAGTGTAAAATTAAAGTTCCCCTATCTGTCCTTCTCACTGCCACAAAATCAACACTATGAATCATTTGAGTTTCTTTCAAATATTTTTGGTGTATATACTTCTACCCTTTAAAAAAAAATACGTATGTAATGCTACTATACATACTACTGCGAAATCTTGTTTTTACTTAAAATATCTTGAACATATAAGGTCAGTATGACTCAGAATTGACTTAATGGCACACAACAACAACTGTATCAGTAGTAGTACTTTGTTCTTTTTACCAGTCAAATAATATTCCACTGAAAATGAGTTATCACATTTTTATTTCTTTAAAACCCTATGTATGCACATTTACATGGTTTCTAGGTTTTTGCTATTACAATGTTGCAAGAGACATCTATATTCACCTACCTTTAACTTCTTGTATAACTACAGAATAAATTCTTAATGTGTAAGACAATGTACACTTTAAAATGTTAGTAGATACGAACGTGTAATCCAAAAAGAATTATACCATTTTTAAACTCCCCCCAATAATATATAGTAGTACGTTGTCACATCCTTGCCAATAATGGCTATCATCATACTTTTGAACTTTTGTCAATCTGATAAAGATATCTTATTACTGTTTCAATATGTCATTCAAGTGAAATTGAACCTTTCCAATGTAGAACCTGCCCATTCATATCCATTGTTCGTTTTCTATCAAGTCGTTCATCTTGAGTGCATTATCATCCGTAAAAAATTTTCTTTAGCAACAAGGTTGACATCTGCACTAGCAAAGCAATGTTAATATGGACAATCAACCAGAACATGGTAAAGAGTCTGCACCCATCACCTGCCTAATTCTGGATGTGCCCACTTCCAGAATCATGGCTATTTCTGGTAAAATGGCCCCAACTAAGCACAGTGCTTCCCAGAAGCCTCCTTATACTCCCAGTTCCTCCTTGTTCACACACTCAGTTAGGAAACAAAGTGTTAAGAAACAAACACTGAGGCAGGGTAATCCACAAAATTCATGTTCAAGAGAAGCACTCTTCATGAATTATTGGCCTCTAAAGATTACTTCGGAGCCCTCGTGGTGCAATGGTTAAGTGTATGGCTGCTAACCAAAAGGTAGGCAGTTCGAATCCCCCAGCCACTCCTTGGAAACCCTGTGGGGCAGCTCTCCTCTGTCCTATAGGGTTGCTATGAGCTGGAATCGACTTCACGGCAACAGGTGAATGATTACTTCACATTACATCACAATAGGATGGATTTACATACCCATAATAAATGGGATATATTTGTGACAGTAATTTATATTAGATAAAATTCAAAATGAACTCCATACATCATCAGAAATAAGCACCAAAATATTCAAGGATTACGAAAGGCATGTGTATATATATATATATCTTTGCACATTACCAGGAACTTCTGGAGCTCTGACCAAACTGACCACGTACTCATCTTTGAACGCCCGCTCTATCACACAGCCCAGCAGCATGGCACAGGAACGCCAATAAGCCTAGAGGAAAAATGTAACATACAGACACTATGCACGCTAAGATTTACCGAAGTTTCTACAATATTAAAGTTTAGATCAACTCTGACTCGGGAAATGTTTCTCAAATATCTGCCCATCCTCAGCCTGTAGTGACAGTGACCATCACGCTGTGGCGTCACCTCTACTTCTATTCATCAAAGAAAAATCCACAGAAAAATGAGGCGCCAGGTTGGTGCTGCCGCCATGTTTCTGTGCAAGATACCAGACACCATAATGGTTACCAACCAACAGAAAGTCTTACTATCCATTAGTAGCTTTATTTTTAAACCCATGATAGTTAATTTGCTAATAAACTTAAGCTAAAACAATCTCAATACACTAATGTATACCCATTTATATCATATATAAGAAGCAAAAAATATACTTTTCCAAAATTATTTATAATGATTCCTATCTGATACATAACATCCATAATACAGCACTCAAGTTACTCGTATTTATACCAAAGCAACCTGCTTGGGGTTTCATTTTACTAGCACAGGCGTGATACGGGGATCCATACAAACACCTCAGCTGAGCCTAAAGAAAAACAGGGAACCTGCATCATACCTACCCATCTTGTTCTCTTTAGTGGCAATACTGTAACTGGGCGCTTTCTTCCCTAAGTCCTTCTCCACATCTGAGGACTACAAAAGTGTGGTCACTCGGTTGTGTGTGGCAAGGCCTGCTACAGAATGTATTCTATGTGACCATATTACACACACTAAAAATAGGTACAAACTCAGGCTTGAAGGCAAGTTGAAAAATGTACTTCTTCATCCATCCTACTCGAATGTTTTTAAATGCCCTTGGCATTGAACTCTAGAGTAAAACGTCTATATTTAAATCCCAACTCTACCACTTATTAAACTGGTAACTTTGGTCAAGCTGCTTAATCTTTCCTTGTCTCGGTTTCTTATCTTGGAAAATGGAGATAACAGCACTGACTTTGTAGTTTTTATGAGGATTAAATGAGTTAATACCTGTAAATCACCAAGAACAATGCCTGATACATAATACACGCTCAACCCTGGTGACGTAGTGGTTAAGAGCTCGGCTGCTAACCAAAAGGTTGGCAGTTCAAATCTACCAGCCGCTCCTTGGAACCCCAACGGGGCAGTTCTACTCTGTCCTATAGGGACGCTGTGAGTCACAATCGACTTGACGGCGACAGGTTTAGTTTTTTGGGTTCATGTGCAAGTCAAGGATGAGGTCTAATAAGGGACAGGGTCCCTGTCTTCAGAGAGCCAAGAATCTAATGCGTTCAACAGTTTATGTTACAAGCAAAATCAAATATTATTTCCAGAGACACTAGCAAAGTGTTGTGAGACCCTAGAGAAAAGAAGGACTCATTCTGACAAGAAGAAACTGAGGAAGTTCCATAGAGCTGATGGCATTTTAACTGAACTGTAAAAGATGAACAGGATTTTAACAGGAGGGGAAAGAAAACGCTCAGCATGAAGGGAATAACATCTACAAAAGCAAGGCAGGTACACAAACCTTTAGTGACCAAGTACTCTAGTGTATCCGGAACAAAGAAATGGAAAGATACAACAGGAGGCAGAGCTGAAACAGTAGGCCGGGGCCACAGTCAACAGGGCTGGAAGGGTACGTGAACAGTGAAGGCAGGCAAGCTCTTTAGGGGGAAGGACATGATCCAAGCATGTCACTTAATAAAAATCACAGAGGACCAGGAAGGAAGCTCTTACATATTAAAGGGGGGTGGCAGGCAGAGAAAGGTAAAACGTTATTGAAATAATCCAGAGAAGATGGTCAAAGGCTGAATTCAAGCAGCAGCACTGGGAATGGAACCACATACAACATAAAGGATGATCAATAAATGCAGGCGGAACATAAAGGGTGATCAATAAATGCAGGCGGAACATAAAGGGTGATCAATAAATGCAGGCGGAACATAAAGGGTGATCAATAAATGCATGGGGAAAATAAACAGTGATCAATAAATGCAGGCAGAACATAAAGGGTGATCAATAAACACAGGCGGAACGTAAAGGGTGATCAGTAAATGCATGTGGAACGTAAAAGGTGATCAATAAATGCAGGCGGAACATAAAGGGTGATCAATAAATGCAGGCTGAACATAAAGGGTGATCAATAAATGCAGGCTGAACAAAGATAAGAATATGAAACACGTGTCCTATAGTTTTCTCAAACCAACATACAGAAAAATGCATGACAGAGGTATTTGGGAACTACGGAAATGCCTACTGTAATGAGTAAGACCCTGACTATGTAGTACAGCACAACACTTGATCTCTGGCCGTGTTTTAACATTTCATATGCTGCAGAAAGGGAGCTTTTAAAAAAAAGGAGAATAAAACTGGGGGGAAAACGGAGACAGACATACCTTATTCACTTCTCTTGGATCTCGATCTTTGAAAGTGAGAAATTTAATTTCACAGGACTTGGTCAAAGGCTTGTACATGTCCCAAGGCTGTCCGTCCACGAGAGCCAAAATGGATTTCTTGCAGTACCACTCACTTAGATCTACAAGTTTACAACAGATTAATAATTTAAATTTAACAAAACCCAAAGTGAAATATTACACATTTAAGTACCACGTTAATAAATACACAATGGAAAGGCAAGATTTTGCAAGTTGTCTTTTTAGAGAAAACTGCATTACGAGTTACCTGAGTAACCAATAAACAATAATACCCAACACACCCAAGACATTCTTGATTAACAAAATTACACAAACCACTTATAAAAATCACTGAGTCTCGTTGTAAATGAATTTGTCAATGATTAATAAAATGATTTTCTAAGAGATAGACACATGTAAATATTCAGAGAGCAGCACCATAGATCTATTTGAATATATGCACCTACAATTTAGGAGTGAAAATATATTAATATACACCCACCATAAATCTGTTCTATATGGGTCTTAGGGTTTGCTCCCAAACCATCTCTTACTTCTTTAAGTTAAATACTGTAGTTACCACACATAAGCCAATCAGCTCTGGTCTGTTCCAAGAACCGAAAATGAAATTCCAATCCCTATCAGATGTTCTGGAGTACACAGCTAGTCACCAGAGTGGTCCAACTACAGGGTCTAAATTATCAGCGGCCACATAAGTTCCAAAAAAGCAGGAGTCGTATCTGTTTTTGCTCGCTTATCAGTATCAGAGATACTGAGCCTAGCAATGGGCCTGGAATATAGTAGGTGCTCAAGAAAAGGTTAATGAGCGACCAAAGGTATGAATGACAAGTCTCAGACACTTCACCTCCACATGTGATGTGTACCAAGGGCCGTAAGGGCCTGAGTTCTGGGTTAGCCTCCTCTGTACCACTAATGCCTATCACACTGCATAGGTTCAATAAATGCTCACCAAACAAATGAAGAAACAATCACCACAGTACTAATTCAAGTGCTGGAGTGGAGGAAGACTGAGTGTACTCTCTGCAGACCAGCTTAAGCTAGTAACTGCAGCTGTTAATTACTTACATGGAATCATTGCTGAGTTTTCCAAGTTAAAACAATGCAGCTGGCTGTGTGTGTTGTTTGTGTGTCTCTGCCACGCTCTATTTTTCGGGTTTTCAGAATTTAAATGTTACCAGTTCCATCAAAGCTACTTATACAAATATTCTGATTACAAGTAATATACAGTATACATACAAACAATGAGGTATTATGCAACTATAACGAATGAGGAGTCTGTGGATTATATTATAACATGGATGAATCTAGACGACATTATACAGAGTGAAATAAGTCAATCACAAAAGGACAAATGCTGTATGATCCCGCTTTTATAAAAAGTCAAGAATAGGTATACACAGAAAGCAACGTTCTTTGATGGTTACCAAAGACGGGAGGGAGGGGGAATCGCTTTCTAGACAGCAGACACCTGTCATTTCTGGTGATGGGAAAGGCAGTGCCCAGTATGGGTGAGCTACACAGCTTGACCAAGGCAAATGAAGACACTAAGAAGTATGCAAAAATAAGGGACCATTTTGGTAAATGCTATAATATATACAATTTTGCAACAACAGTAACAATAACCAAAAATATGAGCGGGGTTACACAGGTATTCACGTACGTATATATGTGTACAGGAAGGCGTATGTGAGTACACGCGTGTGCATGTATAGGTGTTATCTACAGGCATATATATAAGCATGTTTGAGTGTGCTGCGTATATATTTATATATATAATAAAGTACATATGGGGCACAGTTACAGAGACTTCTAGACATATCCAAACACCTTGTAGGGTTGGTTTACTGGGTTAAAAGGCTTAGGACCATAGTCTCGTAGAACAACTCAGTCAATTGGCTTAACACAGCTCATAAAGATAATGTTCCACATTCTAGTTTGGTAAGTAGCGTCTGGTGTCTTAAAAGCTTGTGAGTGGTCATCTAAGATACATTACTGGTTTCTACTTGTCTGGAACAAAAGAGACTAAAGGAAACCAAAGACTCAAGAAGAAACTAGTCCACAGGGCTAAGAGCCCACACAAACCACAGCCTCTTCTAGCCTGAGACCAGAAGAACTAGATGGTGTCCGGCTACCACAACTGACCATTCTGACCAAGGACACAATAGAAAGTCCCAGACAGAATGAGGGAAAAACATAGAACAAAACTCAAATTCCTAAAAAAGACCAGACTTACTGGACTGACAGAGGCTAGAGGAACCCCCAAGACTATTGCCCCAAGACACTCTTTTAACTCGGAACTGAAGTCACTCCCAGAGGTCACCTTTCAGCCAAATAACAGGATGGCTTATAAAATAAATACCACCCGTGAGGAATGTGCTCCCTTAAACAATCTACTATACAAGATCAAACGGTCACCATCTACCCAAAAGCAAAGATGAGAAAGCCAAGAGGAACAGGGAAGCTAGATAAACGGAAACAGAATAGACAGGATGGAGATAATGAGAACGCTGACATATTGGGACACTGTAAATACTGTCACAGCAACAATGTGTACAAAAATTGTCAAATGGGAACTTAATTTGCTATTTAAACTTTCACCTAAAACACAATATTTAAAAAAAAAAAAAAAGTAATATATAGCGGCCCTGCTTCCTCCATCTCTGCATCAAATCACACACACGGCAGGGGCCCCCCTTAAGACATAAACAGAAACAAATATTCTTACCCCAGTCACAACCACCCCATGCACATTTCCACTCACCCATTTACTACATGCACATATAAATGTAAACAGATGTTCACATCAAACGAAGAGGCAGGTGGCAAGCAGAGGATAGATATAAATTATGCTATAAAGAGCTAGAAAGGAAAAGAACAACAATAAAAGCTGTGAGCCCAGGGCAGAGTCTCTTTATCCAAAACCCCTTAAAGAGAGACCAGCATGGTAACTGCTCCCAGCACAAGAGAAACGGCAAGCACACTAGTAACAACGCATTTAGGTCCATGCTTCTTCTGCCAGGACGACTATGACTCCCTAACCTCAGCCAGATTCAAGCAAGTCCCAAGACAATCTCTGCGTGACAGTCCCAACTCTGTAAGACCCCCAAGAGCTAAAGAGCCAGTGAACAGACACAGATGTCAAATAAAGAAGAACTTCTGAGAAGTTCAGGGAGCAATTACAGCATGTCTTCTCTGCACCAGTTCTTGGGCACAGCTCATGTAAAATGGTCAAAACTGCTACCTGGATTCCATTACTTACGCATGGCACAACTATACGGAGTCGAAATATTTTTATTCATCACAAAGACAGTGCCAGGGTCAGTTTTCCCAACATGCTTCACTTCAATCTTCTCAGTTCGAGGAGTTAACGACAACTGCCTGCTTTTCTCTTTATTAAAGAGCTCATTCCGCATTTCTGTCAGTTCAGTTGCTGAAAGCTGAGAAGCTGGCGATGTCGCTATAAATTCTGTGGAAAAATTACAATAAACATGAAAACTGAAAAAAAAAAAAGGAATGATATACTGCCAATACTACCACTCCACCCTACTCCTGAATCCCTGGGTGGTACAGTTAACCCGCTAGGCTGCTAACAGAATAGTGGGAGGTTCAAGTCCACCCAAAGACACCTCAGAAGAAAGGCCTGGCGATCTACTTGCGAAAAATCAGCCATGCAAAACCCTATGGAGCACAGTTCTCTTCCAACACACACCGGGTCACCATGAGTCAGAGTCCGCTACACAGCAATTGGTTACCGGCTATAAAAAGGAAAGAACAGGAGGCCAGAGAACTCTAAACACAGTTTGCCAAAAAGCTGCTCGGAGGTCAACTTAAATAGTTTTCTAACGTTAATAATCAGACAAAACGCCAACAGAAGAAAATAGCAGTTGACCCAGATCCACGCCTTTCCTTCAACTTTCCTCTTTTACCGTCAGATCTCTGCCCCCACCCGTTTCTTCTGTGGAATCTGTGCTCTATAATAAGGGGCAAAAAGTAACCAGGAGTGGAGTCCGAACTAGGCCAATCATTAGGAAGGTGCGCAAATTGTCGCTTCGAAAGAGTCTTGAGGAAAATAAAAAAGTTCCAAGAGACTGGAGGTCCCACACCAAAACTATCAGTAACTCCGGTGAGAAATGCTGAGCTTATTTTCCAAACCCCAAATCAGGGGACTTGACAAGGAACATACGGACAGTGGTCTGCACCGGGATGGGGGTGCCTTGCAGAGGGCGCCCACGCTCCTCCCGCGGCCCCCGACCCTGCACCCCCGGATCCGCCCTGGCAGACCCTCCGCGAGGCCCCGCGACCCCCAGAACCCGTCTCATGCGCAACAACCGGGGCCGACACCACCCTCGAGGCCTCGCTCCCCGTCCCCACGGCCGCTGAAACTCACTCCAGCCGGCCCCGCCGCCGCGGGCGACCCGCCAGAGCCGCAGACCCCGGCCTCCTAAGGTGACCGCCTCCATCGCCGCGGTGGAACTGCCGCGCTCACGTCCTTCTGTGGTCTCTTCCCCGGAACCCAGAACGCGCTCCCCGGGTTCCGTGCGACAGTTCTGTTCCGGGCCGGGTGCTCGGTCTGCGAGCTGCCACCAGGGGACGCGTTGGCGCTGAGCTAGGGATTAGCGGCCGAGGTCTAGGGTCTCGGAGGAGGGACGCTTGGGGCGCGGGGGCGGGGTGGGAGGTGCCGTGGACGAACAGAAGGTGCTCTTGCTGTCATGGTCAGCCCCTAGCTCGTGACTTAATTAACTCCCAGTGTGCAGGGGTGCGTTCTTCGGTCGGTTGCAGTGGGTCTGCACCCGGTTTTCCATTTAGTTAGCCATATGAACGTGGACCTCGAAACCGGACAGGTTGACATTGGGGGAACTTTATGATACGTAGAGCTCTTTACAAAGTATCTAGCATATGTATACATGGAGAGCATGTTAAAAAGGCATCCCAGGGCGGAATTTTTGTCTCTTGTTCACTGATGTACTCCAAGCGCCTGGAACAGTGCATGGCACATAGTAGGCACCCAATAGATATTTGCTGAATGAATGGACTTACCAAAAACTTCAACACAGTGTCTAATTCATATGTACCAAGATATTATTGCTATTTGAAAAAAGCATTTCACAGGTTTAAAAAAAAAAAACCGTTGCTGTGGAGTGGAGTCCATCTCACAGCGACCCTATAGGGCAGAGTGAAACTGCCCCAAGGGTTTCCAAGGCTGTAAATCTCTACGGAAGCAGACACATCTTTCTCCCGTGGAGCGGCTGGTGGGTTCCAGCCGCAGACCTCTCGGTTAGCAGCCGAGCGCTTTAACCGCCGCACCACCAAAGCTCCTATTTCATAGGTAAAGTATGGTATTATTATTCAGTTGTTTAATGCTGCAGCTTTATTTAATGCGTGGAAATGCCGCTACAGTATGAATTCTACGACACGACACGACTCCACTATTGATCTTCTGTCTCCTGGGCCCAGGTTTTACCTTCACAACAACCGCGCGGAGTAGGATTCAGTATCTTCACTTTTAATATGAGAAATGTAGTGAAGTGACCGAGTTTGCATTTTACCTGACCACCGCTGGTTTAAGATCCTAATTGAGACCACGAAATGTATATATGTAACACAGAAGTGTGTGTGTGTTGCTTCCTCTTTAATCTTGCATACAGTGATTCCCTGGGAAGCTCTTTATTTCGTCAGTATTTTAGAGACTGCCCCCATTTAACCCCACCTAGAAACCATATCCACCACCTGTCTGTTAGTTTGTCTGCTGTGGTGGCTTGTTGTTGTGATGCTGGAAGTTATGCCTGCTAATACCAGCAGGGTCACTTATAGTGGACAGATTTCAGGAGAGTTTCCAGTCTAAGACTAGGAAGAAAGGCCTGGCAATTTACTTCCCAAAACTAGCCAATGAAAAGCCTACGCATCACAACAGAGTATTGTCTGATAGAGTCCTGGAAGATAAGCCTCCCTAGGTTGGAAGGCACTCAAAATACACAGTGGAAGCAGCAATGGACTTGAGCATACCAACGACTGTGAAGATGGTTCCAAGACTGGGCAACATTTCGTTCTGTTGTACATGGAGTTGCCATGTGTCAGAGCAGACTTGTTTGGCAACTGACAACAAGAAACCATGTGGTTGCCTTCAGAACATTTTAGAGCAAGATGTAAACAAAGCCTCTGGTGATAAATTTAAGCAAGTTTAATCATAAATCACACTGGGGAGAAGGAACCAGGGCTTACTAGTATCACAGAAATTAGCCCGACTGGGAGGACGTTAGTAATGATAATAGCCAACAAATATGGAATATGTGCCAATCAAAGGGCCAGGTTTACTAATCCTTATACCTCCGCAGTCGGCCTAACAATCCTTTTTCCAGAAGACGAAATTCAGGTTCAGAGAGCTTAAGAGACCTACCCTAGGTAGCTCTGTGGCCAAGGATTTCCTCAAACATCTCTTTACCCTTAATAGGTAGTTAAGAGTAAAACTGTTATAGAGAATCCCTGACAGAGCAGGAGAAAAGTAGGGTGCAGAACTCAAATTCTAGTAAAAAGACCAGACTGGATGGCCTGACTAAGACTGGACGAACCCCGGAAGACATGGCCTCCGACTCTCTGTTAACCCAGAGCTAAAATCATTTCCAAAGCCAACTCTTCAGACAAATAGACTGGACTATGGGACATAAAATGATACTCGTGAAGAGTGTGCTTCTTAGCTCAAGTAGATACACGAGACTAAATGGGCAGCTCCTGTCTGGAGGCCCGATGAGAAGGCAGAAAGGGACAGGAGCTAGTTGAATGGACACGGGAAATCTGAGGTGGAAAGGAGTGTGCTGTCACAGTATAGGGAGAGCAACTGGAGTCCCATAACAATGTGTGTATACATTTTGTGTGAGAGACTGACTTGAGCTGTAAACTTTCACTTAAAGCACAATTAAAATTTAAAAAAAAATAAAATAAAAAATTTTTTAAAAGAGTAAAACTGTTCTATATCCACCTTTCACTGCCTCAGCCCTTTTTCTATAAAAACATTCTTTGGGACTATCCAAGAGGAAATGATGATTCTGATGACAGCAACAGCAATAATTAACCTCAATCTAAGGAGCCATGAGGAAAAGAAACCAGACATACCGCAGATGTGGGACAGCTACCAAAAACTGCACAAGGATATTGGTTTCATGAAAGATGGAACCAGAAAAGTGGGGGAACTGAATCAGAAAGAAAAAAAAATGTACAAAGGGTATTAATCTGATAGAGAAATTTGAATATAAAAAGTATATTATTTTATTGTATCCATGATATATTTCTTGGATATGTTAATAGCAATTCGGACAGATAGGAGACAATCTTGTTCTTAGGATATACGTGTTGAAATCTTTAGGGGTGAGACAGCATTATACTTATCACTAACTCTCACATGGTTCAGCAAAAATCCACCACCACCTCTGCTTGCCCTTGAGTTTATTCCAACTCATGGCAACCTCGAGCATGTCAGAGTAGAACTGTGCTCCATAGGGTTTACAGTGGCTGATTTTCTGGAAGAAGATGGCCAGGCCTTTCTTCAGAGGTGCCTCTGGTGGACTGGAACCTGCAACTGTTCAGTTAGCAGCCAAGTGTGTTAGCCGTTTGCACCACCCAGGGACACAGCTCCCTATTTTTGTTGAGTTGAGTCCCTGGGTGGTGCCAACGGTTAATACACTTGGCTGCTAACCAGAAGGCTGGCAGTGTGAGTGCACCTAGAGGGTCCTTGGAAGAAAGATCTAGTGATCTGCTTCTGAAAAATCAGCCATTGAAAACCCTGCAGAACGCAGTTCTACCCTGACACACACAGAATCGCCATGAGTTGGAATCAACTCAGTGACAACTGGTTTGATAGGCATTTTACGTATCCTATATAATAGACACACACACACAAGTTTGTATCAGACAGTTATATCAGTGCTCAACAGCCTTCACTTCCTCTTGGCCCGATCTGTGAGCACGTGCGTAGGTACGCCTGTGAACGAACAACAGGGAAAAACTAGTGCAAGCTGTGACTCATCTTTGTATTACTTTTTGATACCACGAGGCAAATGGTATCTTCACTCAGCATCATCCCTTGCCAACTCTTATGGGCTCAGGTGGCAGTGGTGTGTGTGTTGGTGGGTCAGGGTAAGGACTTTACGGAGAAGTAAAAGATAGTTGAATATAAAGATGTATATGTGGTCTATTCCTTCAGCGGCCATTCCTTCTTAAACCATCACTTTCTTCCTTCCACCATGAGAACGTCCGATCGTTTCCTTCCTAATAGCAGGGAGAACAGGAATACAGATCACCAAGGTTTAGAGTTTCTTGTAGATAACATTTTCTGTTTCATTTTATAAAATAGATAGATAGGTAGGTAGATAGATAGACAAACAGACAGGTAGATAGGCAGGTAGGAAGATAGATAGACGGATAAATGGATGGACAGACAGCTGCATAGAAAGATAGATGCACATATATACACATATGAATTGTGTTAAAAAAAAAAGTAATTTGCATGTTTCTAACCTCATTAATAGTTACCAAAGAACGTTTATTAAAAATGCTAATGATCCAGTAAGTCTTGAAAATTCTAGATCAAATCACAAGTTGAAGGGATAGTGAGTGTCACGTGTTCTACCCTCTTTATTTCGTAGACAGAGAATATGAGTCACAGAATGGCTAGTATTTGGCTCAAGGTCGTACAGAATGCCAGTGTAGCATCTGGGGTGGCTGGGAACACCAGGGCATGCAGAAAATGCCAGGACTCCCGGAACCAGCACACTATCCTCAAAACACTGAATAGTCCCTCCCTGCGGCAGCCCCACCAAACCCTGCATTTCGTGGTTGTGTGAAGATTGCAAGAATTCTCCTCCCATTTGCTTAGGATTTCAAAGATGTACTAATCCCTGAAACACATGTTAATATGGATTTTCTTTGATGAAATGGGACAAACATATTCCCAGCAGCTCTTCTCTCAGCCCCCACCCTGTTTCAGAGGGAGAAAGTCTACTAGACTAAGTACAAGCTCACTTAGAGTCCTTTAGGATGGAAGTTCATGGCTCCTGGGAAGTGGGGAAAGAATTGGTTGAAGTAATGTTCTTTTAGGAGCTTTGGTAACTTGGTGGTTAAAGCACTTGTCTGCTAAGTGAAAGATCGGCAGTTCGAGCCCACCAGCCGGTCTTTGGGAGAAAGATGTGACAGTCTGCCTCCGTAAACATTATAGCCTTGGAAACCCTATGGGGCAGGTCTACTCTGTCCTGTAGAGTCACTATGAGTAAGAATCAACTCAGCAGGTTTTGTTTAATGCTCTTTTGGTGAAAAAAATACTTATTCTCCTCTAGAATCCCTCTCCCTGGATTATACATAACTTTTCCCTGAGTTTGTATTGTTGTTTTAAACTCCTGACTGTCTTATTCCTAGACTTTTGTCCATGACACTTGCCTGCCTGCCCTGCCTGCCTCCACTATCCAGTTCTGATCTACCCTGGGGAAAGCACACAAGAT